ATTTGGTCACAATAAGGTCTTGCTTAACTCAGAAACCTCTCTTGGTGATTTGGGGTTGTAAGACCTGGAGGTCAGACCCAGACTATGGGTGCCAATGGCACTTATGGGACAGAATGAGCCTGATGGCTTTGCACAGCTCATTTTTGAGTGTCATCCAGTTTGTTGGTTCCTGGTAGACCTGGAAGAGCCCTTGGGACCAGTGCTGTGAAGGGAGGAAACAGTCCTCAAGTCCTTGCATCACCAGAAGCAGGGGCGCAATTGAATTGCTTAAATGTCAGTACTGCTGGAAATGCCATGGGTGTCCCTTGAATGTTCCTCTTTCAGCCCTGGTGGGCAGAGAATTCTCCTGAGAACAAGGTCACTCTGAAGTGCCTCAAATGGCAACAGATGCTTCACTGCAAACTGCTGAGAGGAGTCTTCCATCCAGTGGAGGAAGAGTTGTGTGTGGGAGTCAGGGCGAGCTGGGGAGCTATTGCTGTCTTAAATCAGGCCATTCTTTGCTGGTGTCATCTCAGCAATTTCGTGTCACACCCAAGAGCTGCTTCTCAAGTGTGGAGTTGCTTGCTGTCATCTCCCACTTCCCCAAAAAGCAAAGGTACTTCCAGCTCCTACCCACCACAGCTCACACACAGCAAGGAAGGAAACACCTGCAGAGGTGAGCACTGAGGTGGGGTTTTAATCTTCAGAGCTGTAGGAGGAGAGCAGCCCTGGGCAGAGCAGATGTTTAGAAAAGAAAACAGTTTTCCTGACCCTGGTCAACACAGGCAGCACTTTGTAGAATTAATTGCATCTTGAGTGCAAAGTAGCTGCAGTTGGCATGTGTTTTCAGTGTCTGCAGGCACTGAAAAGAGTTTGGGATCCCCCAGCGCACAATGGACCTCACTGACCTGGGGCTGTTTGACTGACACCAGCACAGGCTGCCCAGAGAAGCTGTGACTGCCCCATCTCTGGAAGTGTTCAAGGCCAGGTTGGATGGGCTTGGAGCAGCCAGGTCTAGTGGAAGGTCTCCCTGCCCGTGGGCTTTGGAATGAGATGAGCTTTAAGGTCCCTTCCAACCCAAAACACTCCATGATTCAAAATACACCTACCAGTTGGTTTCCTCTGATGATGACAAGTTGCTGTTTTTAATGCCTTTCATAATGGCACAGATTTTAGCATTTTATCCTAAATTTCAAACTATTTTAGGATAATTTTAAACTTGAAATTTAAGATGAGAAACAATGGAGAAGGAAAGATGCCTCTTAGAATAACAGATCTTAAATCCCCCTTTCCTGAAATGCAGCATGAATTTTGAGAAAGCAGCCAATCCTCAAGGATGTTGAAATTATGCTGTCACACATCCTAGAAGTTCTGACAAACACAGGATCGTGAGCACCTAACTTTACCTGGACTAATTTTTATAGTTCCATCTTTGCTCCAGTTCATAATTCGTCACCACTGAGTGACACTCCAGACCTCATCCCGGGCTGGAAATTAGAAATTCTGAAAGAGCAAATTAGAAAATCTGAAAGAAACATGGGTCTCCATTTCTAAAAGCCCATTTGTCAGCAGTTACCACTTATAGAGATCTATTGATAACCGGCATTTATAAGATTCGATTATCCAAGTTTTTCAGTGCTTTGGTACTAATACAGGAAATCTCTTATCCACACCTTTAGCTTCAAGCACGTGAGCCATCCCTTTTTGAGTTGTTGTCATGTGTCATGCTGTCGCTCTGATTTTTAAAGATTTTCGAAGCCTTCTGATGTTTACGTTCTTGTAACAAACTTTCTCACACACTTTTGTGTAAATAACTTATTGTTTTACATTGTTGTACGGAAGAAGAGAAATTTGATGGACTTTGGTTTGTCCAGTGTCATTGGAGAGGTGACACTGTCACCCTCCAATCCACTGTCATTTTTAGAAATCTATAAATATTAGAGTCAGAAAATAAACTTCTCCCTTTTTTTACCTTGAGAACAGCATCATGTTCACATTGTGTTATTTCGTGTTTTACAGCAACATCATGGGAATGGGCAGGCTTCACAGAGTAACTCAACCAATGACAATTTTTAGATCTGAATTTCATCTTTACACTGACAGCAGCACAAGGGTTCTGGTGCTATAATATGGATCTGGTGGCTTTCTCCTAAGCTCTGTGGTCCTGGCAGCATATCCCTTTATATCCCAGCTCCTGCAGTTTTGTAGTTACGTGATACCCTCTTCTGCCTTAAGAGAAATTTCAAGACAATTTGATTTGGGTAAATACCTTGAAAAATTCCACTTAAAAGAGCAAAAAAGAGAAAGCTTTCCACACAGCCCAGAAAGTATCTTTGAAATGTAAAACTAATTTAATTTCCAATGAAGACCAAATACTGTCCACTTATTCTTAACAAAAGAGGAAATAAAAACAATCCACAATTTATTCTGTTGTTACTATTTTTATTATTATTGTTGCTCTCACAATTAGAAAACACAGTTAATGCTGCTTTCACAAAGAGAGGAAAATTTGTTCTTTAGATGAATAAACTAAAGCTCTGCTTGAGATATTTAATCAAACTCTGTCTGACTGATGAAACTGTTCCTGAGAGTAAAACAAAACAAAATATGTTGTGCATGTTAAAGTCATTAATCTCAGGTGGATTTTAAGTTTCCTGTTCTTTCTCCCCCTCTCCCAAATCTTGTTTTCTGCTCCATCTCCTTTGCAGGGGAGAAAGTCATGCCTGTTATAGCTCCAGTCTGCTCTTGGGAATAAAACAATGTTGTTTCACAGCCCCCTGTCCGATGCAGGGAAAGCCAAATCCTTTGTCACAGGTGAAGTCTAACAGCAATCCATCCCAGGCCTGAATTTTCCTCTTGTTCCCTATATTCCCAAGGACCTCCAGAGCCTCCTCCCAGCCCTTTCCCCAAACAGGTAGCCCAGAGCTGGGCAGCACAAGCCTGTCTCACTTGGAGGATGATAATGTTTGTCTACAGGGATCTGTTTTCTGGCAGGAAGAGGGATGGTCCCTCAGGGACTCTTTTATCACTTTCTTGACAGAGACACTTCTAATTGTATTCAGATTGTTTTCTTCTTCCCTCGCTCCCCTTCCCCTCACCAAGGGCTTTTCCAGCTGCAAGTGAAATATTGCGGACTGCCTGCTGTAGTATAATTAAGATATTTTCTCTTTTTGTCTAATAAAATACACAATCAGATGGGAATTTTTTATAATGAATGGCATTTGCCTACCTTATGGAGAAACCTAAATTATATAAAATTGGAAAGGGTAAAGATGGGGGGATTAATAAAAAAAAAGTCAGCCAGATATATACAGGGTCTAAAAACTCAGATCTGAAAATAGCATTAAGTCCACACTGTTTTATTAAATCATAGATTTTTTTTTTTTCAAGTTAATAAAATAGCATAATACTCTTCAGGATAGCTTGGCAGTTTCCATCAGGGGTAATATTGTAAAGGTGTGAAATAATAGTGAATAGAATAAATCAGATGTATTTTGCCAGCTAGTGTAAACCAACAGTACTGTGTAGTATGACATGGAGCTGGGCTAAATTATATCAGCTGCTGGGATGTGGTAAGACATTTTATAAGAAGGGAACTACAGCATCACCTGACAAAGGCATTCACAGTAATTAAGCTGTTTTCTGCAGTAGCTGAAAGATCTCAGTGTTTCAGAGCAAAGCCTTGAAAACTGCTTGCTGAAGGCCTGAGAAAGGGAAGGAGGGATGTATTTTCCTTGCAAAGCTGGTTTGTGACAAATGTTCTCCCAAATATCTTTCACACAGCACATGCACAAAAAAATATAGAATCATGGAATGATTTGGGTTGGACCTTGAAGATCATCCAGTTTAAACCCCCTGCCATGGGCAGGGACAGCTTCCTCTAGACTGCGGAAATAACTTGGCCATTTTGTTTTGGATTCCTGTTGTATTGATAATTGAAATTGAGAGATGTGACACTTTTCTGGCCTCTCTGTGCTTTGCTGCTGGTGCAAGGAGTGAAGCATCAGAGACAAGTTGCAAGAAGAAAATTGTACTATGAGTTCCAGCAGTATGGCCCTGTATTATAGGTACTCTCTTTATTCCTCGTTCTTATTAAAAGGAAGCGAGAGCTGTCTAGTGCTCATAGAACAACATTTTCAGAAAAAAATTGGAAATGCCAGAGGAAGGACATCATAGAATCACAGAATGGTTTGGGGTGGAAGGGACCTTAGAAGCTCATAAGACCTTAGAAGTGGTGGGCCTTAGAAGTTCCACCCCCTGCCATGGACAAGGACACTTTCCTCTAGACCAGCTTGCTCCAAGCCCTGTCCAACCTGACCTTGGACACTTCCAGGGATGGGGCAGCCACAGCTTCTCTGGGTACCTGTGCCAGGGCCTCAACACCCTCACAGGGAGAAATTTCTTCCTAACATCCAATCTAAACCTACCTTATTTCAGCTTAAGGCCATCAAACTGCTGAGATGGCCCTAGCTGGCTGGATGAAGCAGGCCTATGCAGCAAGGGAGGCTGCAGTTCATCAGACCTTGCCCTGTGCATGATTCTCACCTGAGGAAGGTACATCCCCCTGGGCACACTCCTAATGCAGTGTGCAGCTCTCCAGAGAAAAAAAGGGCCCTGAAATTTAGAAGTTATGGCAAAAGCAGTGTAACTCTGTAAATTCATAGGCTAACAGCCTAAGACATGGGCTGGGGCCGCACAGATTTTTTTTGTCAAAGAAGTAAAGTTCAGATGAAGCCCATGATGGATTATGTGGAGAAGAGAGCAGAGATTTTGAACGTGGCTGCCCCAAACTGCAAAACTCCAAACAATTCAGCCATTTCAGGTCAACATCTTCAGTAATGGACATCTGTGGCATGGCTAAAGTTCTGCTGTGAGTTCATTTCCCACCTGGTAGACCTGTAGATGCCTAATTGGTTTATTCACTTATTCTAATTACAGGTGATGATTTCTTCTGACATGAAAAAGCCAGTCAAGGATCACAGGTCTGACATGGAAGGAATGAAATGCAGCTGAAAACAGTGTATGCACAGACAATTTCTTCCTTTTTACTAGTTTTTCACCAAGCAGAAAGACTCATGACATCAGCAAGGGAGCAAGAAAAAGAATCATTACAGAATAGCATTGAAATGCTCAAATTTTTCTTCAGTCAGAACATCTGTGCCTTGTTGGCACCATCAGAAACTGGAAATAAAAATAAAATTCCTTAAAAGAATGAGAGTGGATGGTTTCTTTACATATCAAATGAAGCCAAATTCTGGCATTGGAGAGCAGTGGGATTTGTGCCACCAGCCTGTCTGCATGTCAGCCTAAAGACACCCACCACTCATCACTGCACTGCAGAGATGTTTTAGTCCCTCAGCTTTTATGAGGTGACAATAACACAAACCACTGTTAAACTATGAAAGCTCTTTTTTTTGCCTGCTCATAACTGGGGGATGGAAGGAGGCAACAAGACCAAACCCATTACAGCAAAGCAGAATAGCTGAAGAGAACAAAATGCCTCTAATGTTGCTATTATAGCACATGATGCTTCTCTCTTCCAATTCCCCAGGGCTGCTCACAGACATGTCAGAGGCAGTTGCCCCCTAGGGATTGGCTAAGTGGGGAAAAAAAGATTTGGAGAAAGGTTGTGGTGTTACTGACATATTTTCCCCTAGTGAAAGTGACAGAGTCCCTCTACATTTGTGTAGGAGTGATTTTTTGGCTGTTTACAGCATTTTGCATGGGGCTGGGGAGCTCAAGAATGATCTGAAAGACATCAGAAGCTCTGCTGCCTTCTGTTCCTGGAACAGCATCCTTCTCCAAAGTCACTTTTCATAATCAGTACACAGGGCTGGATGACCACTAAAAATAAACCAAAACAAAAAATCCCCCCCAAGACCCCAAACAAACAAACAAAACAAACAAACAACAACAAAAACCCAAACCCCCCCAAAAAACCCCAAATGAAACAACAAACAATAACAAACAAAAAAGCAAATAAGAGATCTTAGGCTATTTTAAAAACTCCCCTGCACAGCAGCTCCTCTCCATGTGCAGGAGCCAGAAGCCAACTACCCATGACATGAGAGGTGTGAGTCATGTTTGTTATTAAGTTCCTCAGGGGCTTAATTTTACCAGTTTGAGTGATTGCTGGGAAATTTTAGCAATGAGAGTGATCACTGATAGAAAAATGAAACAGCAATGGTGACTCTTCCTTTCTCCAAGTGTTCTGTTTCATTGTCTTGACTGTGTCTTGGCTAATTCTGCTCAACATTAAGAGGCTGGGGAGGCAGGGAATAAAGAAACTTATCTATCCCTATACCAGTGAGTGCCTCAAACCATGTTATTGTCCCATCCTTGGGAGGAAAATCAGAATTGTTTTCCAAGTAGAAGTGTGAAACAATAATCTAACATTCTGCTGTTGCAGCAGTAACTTCAGCATTTATTTCATACTATTGTTAATGCTTGTTTATAATATGAGGATATATTTAGGTAGGAAGTAAAGTAGATGAAAGCACAAGATATAAATATTTCTGTATATCTGCATACAAAAGAAAATATGTACAGCCACAGATAGTGGTGCTCTGCTGTGTGAGGGCAGAGCCACGTGAAAGACTGACATGTTCCCATTCCTTCCTGCTGTGAGTAGCTGCTGACTTCCGTGGATGCTGACTTCCATGGATGCTAACTTCCATGGATGTGCTCCCTATAGCCAGATCACTCCACTCTCTGCAGTTTCCTGAGGTTGGACCAATAGTTTTGTGGGGGAAGAAGCCAGTGGCACATTTCCCCAAGGATTTGGTGGGTCAGTGTGGAAGAATGTCAGTGACTAAGGGTATCACACCCAAGGGCCAAAGAGATAGAGAGCAGGAGCTTGCTGCTTTTCTTTACTTTCCCACTAGACTTGGATTTCGCTTTGTTATTTTTTCCTAAAGACTCCACTGCTGTCTTGTGGACCCCATAAAGTCCTTCTCAGCCTACCCTACTCCCACTGCCTCCAGGATTCCAGGGGATTTTTTTCATTTGTCCAGACTGGACAAATTAAGGATATATTTTCCTTCAGCAATCAGCTCAAAGTCGCAGACCTGTGTAAAAGAAAGATTAGAATTAGTTGCTCATTTCAGGGGATAGACCTGAAATCTTTCCACTTTTTTATCTTTCAGAATGGATGATTCCTCGCTGAAAATTAAGTCTTTGGCAGCAAAGGCAGGTGTTGCTGAAAAGTTGTAGCATTTTCCCTTGTGGAATGGTCCTAATGGAGATTCAGTACCTGTGCTAGAAGGCACAGGCTGGTGTGAGCCTTAGTTACTGTCAAACAAATGGTGCTTTTTTTTCCCCCCAGGGAAAGTTTCCATATTTATTTCTCAGAATACTAAGGCACTTGATTGCTGGACATCATTGGCAGCCACAGGAAATATTTTGGAAGAAGATACCATCCCAAATGAAGCTTTGTCTTCTCAGAGAGCATTTTATTGGTGAGGAGAAACATTTGTGGGTCTGTTGCTTTTTGGGAGGTTTTTTTATGTTCTTATTTTTACTGGTGAGATTGCTGCTTTTCCTCCTACCATCTCTCCTCAAGTCTGTGTCTTTACAAGATAAACGATGTCTGGTCAAGGAAATGTCTTCTCTGAATAGTGCTGGGGTGCTGCTGCTGCAGTCTGAGCTCCCAGGTGTGCAGAGGAGAGGTTTCATTTGCACACATATCTCTCGACAGTCCTCTCGCACTTCTTACAGGTCACGTAGCAGCACCAGTGATATTTGCAGTGGCAACGCTCCACCACCTTGTCCATGTAGGGGTTGTAGCCTCTGCCACAGCACATCAGGTCGCAGCTGTCACTCCCGTTGGAAGTCTTGTTGCACTGCCTGGAAGAAGGAAAAATCTGTGAGCTATTGCAAATTCCTGATGGGTTTTCCCAAACCCCTGCTGTGTGGTGCTGCTGGGCCTGATGGCTCTGCAGGGCTCTGGGTGAAGCCAGAACAGTGAGCACCAAGAGCCCCCTGTGCCTGCAAGGGTGCAGGGGAAGCCCTGAGCTGCCATCACCTCCTAGGACACCCAAAATAACACTAAACTCCTGTTCTGACTCTCAGTTTGGGCCTGGCAGCATCCAGGCTGCTTGTCTGCTAGGCCAGCCTGCTCCCACACGAGCAGGCAAGCAAAGCTATTGGAATACCTCAATACTAATACTAATACTAATACTAATACTAATACTAATACTAATGCTAATAATCCCAAACAATTAGTGTTCCCAGGCAGGCTCCAAAACTGTCCGAAAGGAGCTGGAGGAATGTTGCAGACATATTTTGTGAAAAATCCTTCCATTAGGATCTTTTCTCCTGAGAAGCTGAGAAGCTTCGGCTTCTCCATGTTTTGCTGCTTTGCAATGTGATCTGGAGAATTGTTTACCCAGCATGTAAAATTGTTTTTACTTGATGACCAATGACAGCCACCTGTGTTGAGGCTGTGAGCAGTCACAAGATTTTATTTTCATTCCTTTCTATTCTTTGCTAGCCTTCTGATGAAATCCCTTTTTCTATTCTTTTAGTATAGTTTTAATATATAATTTTATTTTCATATATATATATCATAAAATAATAAATCAGCCTTCTGAAATATGGAGTCAAGTCTCTTCCCTCGTCGTGGGACCCCTGTGAACACCCCCACAGAGGAAGATGGCACCCTAAAGAACAAACACTGCTATATGTCCACCACTGCCTAACCTGAAAAGGGAAAAGGAGGAACACTACAGCCAAATAATATTTAAACAGTTTCCATGCCAAGGATCCCAGGCTGGGAAGAATGCTGAGCAGGCTGTTACAGGCACTATGCAGCACTGATCCTAGCAGGGAAATCACCATCAATACTAGCAGGGCTGGGCTGTGCACCTTTTTCCCTTTGGTTTTCTCCCACATGGCATGATCAGCTGGGCAATTGGCCCCAAAACACTTTTATTCCTGACTCAGGAACAGGAAGTGTGGCAGGAGCACAGGGTAGGATGACAAGTCACCAAGTACCACACAGACTTTCACAGCTTGTTTTGCTTCTGCTCTTAATTAAAGACAGACTCAGTGGGATAAATCAGCTATTGTGTTGGGTTCCCTAATTTTGTCGGCATGCCAGTGAATGGTTTGAGGTTTTCAGAAGCAATCCCTTAATTGAGGAATCTCTTTCATTGATCCAATGATTACCATTTCACATCTGTCCTCAAAAACCATCAATCCCACCTCCTAAAATACTCCAATATTCACTGGAAGTGAAAGTGCACCAGGCATTGAATTTTGAATGCAATGAACCAACCCTGTCCTAGAGACACCATTTCTTCACAGACTGCAAAGACAACCCAGGATGGAAGTGTTCTTGTTTGGTCAGACACCTGTGCCTTTTTGGTGTGTACCCAACACTGTGGGGCTGTGAACTTGATGGTCTTCTGAAACTGCTGTAAGAAAGGTGGTTTATTGAGTGGGGTGATCGCTGACATCTCTCCTAAATCTTATTCTGTGTGGCTATTTTGTGTCTATTTTGGACAGAAACACTCCAAGGCTGCTTTGGGGCCAGAAGAGGAGAGAGGAGCATAAGTTGTACCCTTAAGCTAAGCAACTGTTAATAAATGAAAACAAATCCATGAGAATTACAGGAATTGCTCATGAGGTAATGCTGTAGGAGAAGTTATGAGATTAGTGAAGCATTGAGATTTTGTTCTTGCTCTTCTTCAAGTTTTTCTGTTTGTTATTCTGATTCACATTCCTCTACAGGTTCAGTGTTTGAAGGCCCCCGAAGTCACTCTTATTCAGGAGTGTGTGTAAATATTTAAAAACCTTTTAAAGCCTCTACCAAAGCTGAAGTGTGCAGCCACACTGAATGTGTTTGCCCAACGCTGAACCAAAGGCCTCGTTAGTGCCCCTGTGAACTGGGGCCTCTTCACAAGAAATCTCCAGACGACTCCTCATAAATGTATTAATAAATGCTTCAAGTATTCAGAGCAGAGGTTCAAATATAGGTGCGTTGACATTAGAAGAGGAGAGGGTATTTGTCAACCTCACTCAGCTTTGCTAGTGGATGGAAATGTTGTTTCCTGGAGGCTCACCTGGGGAGGATGGGGAATCTGCAGAAGCCTGGCAAGGGATGCACAATGCATCCATGTCACTTCATGCTGGGAGCTCACTAAAATGCCCAAGAAAAGGAATAGAGGTCCACTCTGACTGCAGCTCACCACTGAGGACGTTCACTCCCCAAACATACAAGGCACACCACAGTGATATATACCCCATCCAAATAGAAAGCAAAGCTCTTCTACCTGCTGTACTGGGACCTGGGATTCTCTCTTTCCCTCCATGCACTCCTTTGGTTTGCCAAAAAAAAAAAAAAAAGAAAAAGAAAAGAAAGAAAAAAAGAAAAAATAGGGAAAAATAAAACAAGTGACTCAAGTAGAAGATATGTCTTCCCATATACCTTCCCCCATTGCTCACAGTCTGAGACAAAGAAAGGAAAAAAGGAAAATCTTATTAAATAAATCCTCAAACTTCCCCCAGTTTGGTATCAGGAAATGGGAACATTCAGAATGGGTGGGTTGAATAGCCCAAAAAGTTTTGACCCTATCATAAACCTATATCGGCTTTTAGAAAGATTTCCTGACAATGCCACTAAGCAGAGATTTTGTTTTCTGTTTTAAAGCATAGGCCTGGATATGAGTTAGATTCTTTTTTCATTAAACAAGATGAAGCAGGTGGTTTCTCAGCCAGTGGGGAAAGACAAAGAACTCCAAAGACCAGAGTTTACCCACAGAAGCAGCCCTGAACATCAGATTCAGAGCCTGCAGTTGTGATCTCACCAGGCTCCCCACTGATGGGTTAAGTTCAATCTCATTTGTTTTGGGCCTGGTCCAGCACAATTCCAGCACTCAGAGAAATGCCCTCCTCCTGAGCCTTGGAGAGAAAACATGAAGGCAGGCGACTGCCTCGTAACACAACACTGCGACCTCGAGAAGCACTTGGAAGACTGCTGAGAAATTATCCTTCAGCTCTAATCCCAGCCAAGGTTCTGGCTCCAGAGCAGGGTTGTAGCATTGTCACAAGGTCAGCAGTGTTGTCTAGACAACTCCCACTCAACATGCCTGTCCCAAATGCCCCCTTTCCAGCCCTCATTTGCAGAAGCACTGCAATACACCATACAGACTCAGCAGAGCTGAAGGATACCCCAGAACTTCTAAGAGTCTTCCCCCAGATGGAGAGTAGGGATTTTAATTTTAATAGGGGGAGCTAATAGAATTATTTTGGTTAGAAAAGACCTCTAAGATTGATGAAATCCAACTTAGCAATGTCACACAGCTTCATTGTGAATCCCTATTTACTCTGTCCCATCAGCAGATAGGATACATATTTTTTTGGTTGCACAGCTGGCACCTGGGATCCAAATTGAGGCCAATTCTGTGCTGTCACCCACGACTATGACCTATAATGACAGGGATGAGATACCCACTGGAACCTCACTCCATCAGTCCTATTGATAAGGACTTAATAATGACGATATTAAAAAGTCATTCTGGGGCACAGCAACTGCCTTCCTGGCCCAGTGCATCTCCCAGTGGATGAGGGAGATGCTGTTACAGGAGTAAAACATAAATCTAAACACTTTCTGTAGTCCTTCTTCTCATACACTGCCAGCACCTGGGCTGTTGCATCAGGGATGATAGAAGGGATGTTCCTTCCTTGATATCTCATCCATTTGGCTGTGTGATTCCCTCAGCCCATTCCAACCACAGGGAAACCATCTGCCTTCATGAACTCCAGCAGTCCCAAATCCCAGAACACAGTACTGCTATGTAATTATTTCTTTTTCTCTTTTAAATCAAATTCCTATTTATTTCTTTGGTGCCCCTTGCTCTGGTAATGTCAAGTAATGCAGCAGTATATAAAAGAAAGAAAGAAAAAAATAATTCAAATCCCTCAGGAGATATATACCACAATGGACATTCCTGAAAATACATCAAGGTCACAGCTTCATGTAAGATTTTGAGGGAAGAATCTTATCTACTTTTAAATTGCATTCTCATCCACAAGGAATGACTGGAGACTGACACAAAACAACTGTACAAGAAAGAGTTATCAGCACATGTCAGTGAGGAGATGTCAAGAGAGATCCTGGAATTAGCCTGTATTTTCATTAATGAGAAGTTGAGAGTGAGGTTAAAAATTAGGGGACAATGCTAGGGAAGAAGGAGTTGAGGATATCTTGTGACAGTGGATTAAAGTGTAAAGTAAGATCCAGCTAAATGTGGAATGTTTCCAGGGGAGCCAGGGGAGCAGTTCAGAAAGTAGAAAACAATGAAAGAACTGATTTAGAGAAGTATGTTAAAAGAGGTGTCTTCCCCTCTATAAAAGATTATTGCTATAAGGGGAGAGAAAAAAAAATGTTCTTTATATGCCAAGGAAAGAGTGCAAGAAAGTATTAGTTTTATTTTAGATTATGTTTAGTTAAATTTTGATTAAGAAAAGCCTAACACTGAGGATTGTAAAACCCCAGATCAGGTTGTTTAGGGAAACTGCTTTTAAGACCAGAGTAGAGAAACATTTTCAATAACAGCCTAGGTGGTGTCAGTTCAGTCTTGCTCCTGAAAAGATCAAGGTCCATGGAAAATCATTCCCAGACCCAATTTTCTCTAACACAAACACCATTTGGTTGCAGAGGGACTAAATATGTTTAATATAGCTAGATTAATTATTTATTGCAATTTTACTGCGTGAAATGATTCTTTTTGCAAATAAATTTATTATTCAAAAACCTCTTCAGGAAACTTTATGATCAAATCCAGGTCTCTCAAAGTAGAAAGAATTCAATCTTCCCCACATATTAACTAAGATAACAAAATAATGTATAGCTGGCCAGCCTATTTACTGAAATGGGCACCAGCTGCAAGCATCTTGCCCTGGGAAAGAAGGAATAACACCTAAACAAGGTGGGAGGAACAGAAAGTGAATGTTTTTCTGACTTTCATAAAATCATGGAATAGTTTGGGTTGGTAGGAATCTTAAAGGCCATCTAGTCCACCCACCCCCTGCTATGTACAAAGGCATTTTTATCTAGAGCAGATTTCCTCCAGTTCTTCTGGGACACTCACAAAAGCATTATTTGCTATTTCTTTTTCAGAATTTGTCAGATCTCATAAAAAAATGGTAACACATCTGCTAACTGTTCCAAAACCAACTATCATTGAACACATTATAACTCACTCAAAGCTCATCTTATCCTGTGCCCTCACTAACAGAAACTAAAAGAAGCTGTAACAAAAAACAAACATCAAATGCTGTTGTTTACCCATAACTGCTACTCTCCCCCAGCTTCATATGAGTGCTTCTACCAAAAAATTTCATTGCCCACATAAACAAAGAATCACAGAGTGGTTTGGGTTGGAAGGGAACCTTGAAGATTATAGCATCATAGAATAGAATCATTAAGGTCAGGAAAAGCCTCCAAGATCATAAAGTCCAGCCCTGGGCTCAACACCACCAGGTCCACTAAACCATATCACAAACTGCCATGTTCACTCATTTTTAAACACTTCCAGGGCTGGTGACTTCCCTGGGAAGCCTGTTTCAATGCTGAATGAATTCAGCACTGAAGAAAATATTTTAAATTTCCCTCAGGGCAGCTTGAAGCCATTTCCTTGTGCTGGTTTCCTGGGAGAAGAGACCAACCATGGCCTGATCACAATCTCCTTTCAGGTATTTGTAGAGTGTGATAATGTCTCCCCTGAGCCTCCTCTTCTCCAGACTCAGCAATGCCAGTACTCTCAGTCATTCCTTGTATTATTTATATCCCAGACCCCTCCAACAGCCCCTCTCTGGACACACTGCAGCACCTCAAAGTCTGCCTTGGAGCAAGGGCAGTAACACCAACACAGCACTCAAGGTGCAGCCTCACCAGTGCTTGTACAGGGGGACAATGAAGTCCAAGATCAGCCTGTTCCAACCCCTGTGCCATTAGCAGGGACACTTTCCACTGATTGTCCCAAGCCCCATCCAGTATGGCCCAGGACATGTCCAGGAATGGGGCAGCCACAACTTCTCTAAACAACCAGTTCCAGGGAACAATCTCACAGGGAAGAATTTCTTCCCAATATCCCATCTAACCCTGTTCTCTATCAGTGGGAAGACATTCCCCCTTGTCCTATCACTCCAGGCATTTGTCCATAGTCCCTCCCCAGCTCTCTTGGGGCCCCTAAAGGCACTGGAGTGGGCTTTAAGGTCTCCCCAGAGCCTTCCCTTCCACAGGCTGAACAATCTCCATAACACAATACAATGCCTATTTTTGGGGTAGCAGGAAAGAAGTGGTATCAAGAGCTGCCACTGAACACTGAAAACTGAGCAGCATGCTCAGGCAACTTCATGTATGCTCATATCCAAGAAAGCATGCCAGGCTAAGCCATTTGTGACTAATATTTTATATTGGAGTAAAGAAAGGGTATGTGAGCAAGGAGCAGCCACCAGAGTGGCCACACTCCTTGCCACAGGGAGTCAGCTGAGGAGTGGTGACTGATCAACCCAGCCCATAGTTTGCTGCAGCCTGATTTCTGCAGCCTAAGAGATCTCCTTCCCACATTTGGCTTGATTCCAAGACTGCTCTGGGAAGGATCAGTAATAAACAGCTCTGTTATCTCTACAAGGTTTCAGGGGCTGGATGCTTTTGCATGCATGGCAGAATTTCCCTTTCCTTGGATTCATTAGGGAGACTTAAATGGCCTTTGAAACATGATACATAGCACCCTGCTTACAAAAAAGATTCATATTTTTGCTTCTTTTCTCACCAAAGAGATCTCAATTTTATAATCTGCCATTATTTTTCATTTACTCAAAGCTGGTAGTGATTTTTTCAGGCAGGAGCAACTGAACTACTTAATTAAAAGATTAAAAAGTGCTTTTGTCCAAGAAATCTTTGAGAACGGGAATATTTACATTTCTTTCCCAGTGGTTGATTTGTTGTATTGAAAGTTTTACTTGCAGCTCAACAGATCAGCTTCTTTAGACTTTTCTCCAGGCCATTTTTAATTGGTTATGAAAGTGTGATGGTGGTATATAAGCAGAGTTTGGCTGGAGTCAGTGTGGCAGTAAATCTTGTTTGCAGGACACTTGGATACCAGTTGCAAAAATCAGCTCCTTAATCAGCTTTTCAGCACTTCAAAGAGGCCTCAAACCCCAGGTTTGAGTTAAGTTCCATGACTTTGAAATCTGGACATACCCTGAGCACTTGGAGGCATGCAGATTTCCAAACCATTTCTAAATTTCAACAAGCTAAGAATGTCCAAAGTGTCTTAGAAAATGTTTCAGGCTTGTTCTGAAGAAAGCTTTGAAATCCTTTCAGGAAAGAGCTCTAAAAGGCTTTTGAGTAACAGGGGGCTCATCTTCTGAGTGGATTTTCATATGGTTCATCTACAAAGTAATTCCTTTTCCTGCCTGAAAAACACACAATAACTCTGCATAGTATGACCCCTCACATTAGAGGGATCACCAATTAGATTATCCTTTCCTCCCACCTGGCAGTGCAGGATTGTTTCCTACAGCATACAACAAACTCCAACTCATCCAAGGTGTTGCAACTTAACCATCAACCTCCATCCTGTTTCCAGCATGCTATGAGAAAGAACCAGACCTTGGGGAGAGGGAGGAGGAAAAGGACTTTCCCTGGATTTGCTGCAAAACTGCTCATTTTCTGTCACAAAAAATACATCAATATGAATATTTTAATCAAGGAACAGGAAAAGGGGGTGTTAGTGGCATATTTCCCCCTCCAAATTCCTTTGGAGGCAGAAAGCAGGGCTGGGAAATACTGAAGATGCCCAGATGAAAGATCCCTGAGCTGTGGACATAGGGGACTGCACTATACAGCCCAGGCATGGACTAACTTTGTACCCAGAAAAAGGCCAGAAAGGATATGAGAAGGTGGTTGAAGACAGAGTAGATCAAATGAGGGACCACAACAAACCCCCCCCTTTTTTACTTCATTGGCATGACTGGCCTTAAAAACTAGACTACTTGGAAACAGTGGGATCTACCTTCAGAACATTTTTATGTACATAAAGATAAAATGTTCAATTGCCTCCAGGACATGACTCATTAAATAAAAACATGCTTGAGCTATTCCCATGTGAGCATTTTTACATCATTCTGAAGCGTAAAACACATTTTGCCATGCCCTCTCTCTAACAGCAGTCCTTTTGTGCTCTTTCTACCTTATCCCTGTAACTAGACATTATCTCTGCAGCCCCGTGGCAGGCTGGAACAGAGGCACCACATTTAAAATGCATTTAGGAGCCCTCTTCATGAGAGAAAAAATGCAAAGAGAAAAAGGCGTCCATGGGAGGAGGAGACTAGGGAAGATCTCCTCCCTTTCTCAGCCCCCCCCAGGAAGCATGGACCAATCTTCAAACACACTGTGTGTATTTTACATTTATTTCCACTAGTAATTTAGTTCAGGAAAGGAGTTGCTATGGCTCATATAACACATGCCAATCTTGAAACACCAGGCATCTTCTCAAGAGGCTGCAGATGGACTGTAATGAAAACAAGCCCCATCACACATGACCTTAAAAACTTGACCTGAGTGGTGTCTGAAGCTCAGCACGGGACTGTCTCACCCTCCTCCCCTCCCATGGCCTTCACCATCTTGCACATCTGAGAATGAGGAGTATTTTTTGACAAGTTCCTTTTGAAAGTCATCCCCTCCCACCTTAATATCTTGGTACTCTAAATCCCCACTCCATCTCACTTCCTGTGGACCCTTGGCTGCCAGGTTCACAGTCGTGGCTGTCATCCAGCTCGGGATAAACGCATGCCTGCAACACACATTTTCCTTTCCACAGAAGGAAAAAAAAAAATCATTCAGGACCTTGACATATTTTTCATCCCTAGATGGGATAAAAAGTTGAAATCTGCTGTAAAATAAGATTAGATGAAGAAGTCACACCTCCTGTCCCTTGAAAGGATTTCAGCTCATGGAAAATGTTTTACTTGGCACATCTGTAATGAATTCAACTTTGTTTTGACACAACCTGTTCATTTAATGCAATTCCTATAAAACTAATTTCCAAATAATCTTCACCAATTTTTTTCCTTGCAAAACAGAAAGGCAGAACAAAGAGGTCATTTTCAAGGCACAAATATCATACAAAATCCATACAAATCCACAAAAACTTCACTTATACTAAGATGACATTTTCTTTCAGAAACATGTTTCAATACATGCCTTTTCCTAGCTATTCTTTGTGACTTATAAACTTCACTTGATAAGTAATGCTGCACTGCTGAATGGGTGATAAAGGTCAGCCTGGTGTTCCCACCACAGAGCTGTCAGATATGTGCCACTGTAGAGCACTCCAGGCATTGATGTCACAGGATAGGGGACATTGACTGTCATAAAGCATCAAGGGACAAAAAGACTGTCTTGTCTCATTCAGCTGTCCTATCTACTGATCAGTCCCACCACTTACATACTGATGCAGAATCACAGAAACATTGAGGCTGTAAAAGCCCTCTAAAATCAAGTCCACAGCACTGCCAAGCCCACCACTAATCCATGTCCCCAGCTGCCACATTCCCAGATGCATATATAGTTTATCTTTTCTGCATTTGGGTCACTACATTTCAGCAAAACCTTCTCTCCATTGAACCATAATGGTCCAAATCCAAGTATGCCCACTACATTAAAAATGAAGGCATCCCAAAATGGGCCAGGCACATGCTCCGTGCCACTTGCCTGAGCCTCCTACGCGAAATAACCGAAAGAGCAAAGAAGAATTATGAGAACTATCTAAAGAAAGGTAAACCAGCAAGAGAGGTTGAAATCCAGCCCTTGCAGCCAGCTAACAAAAATTAGGAAAATTATGGAAACATACACTTTTTTGGCTGTTGATGGCCCAGCTCTAGAGAGATAGATGGGTGTGCCCACCTAGAGATGCTCAGATTGTTGAAATGTTGAACTAGTTTGTTGGAGGAAATTAAACAGATGGTGGGAAGAGAAAGGCATTTCTGCTATCTGTGAAAGGGGACAGTATGCTGCCCAGTGGAGGTTTGGCTGACCATAATGACCCTTAATCTCCAATATTAGTGAAATAAAGAAATTCCTCTGCAGAGTCATAAGCAATACAAACACATCTGGACCTTTAATATGCAGTAGAAGAAAAAATTAAATATAATCTTTGCACTTTTGGAGCAGTTTTGTGCAATCTAGGAATGCTGGTTCTAACTGAGTTAATATTTGCCTACTTAGGAGAGCCTTAGAGTAACAGCTCTTCTAATCAGCAGTGACTGCAAGAACTTACTGAGACTCAACACAGTATAAAGCAGCTGCTTGGTCCTTACAAGTTCCCATGGAGGTAAGCTGCCCAGGGAATTTTGAAATGTATATTGTGCCTGTCTTGGCCACAGCCATCATGAACAGGGTTAGGAATTGGTAAACCATATTGTATGTCGGAGATGTGCTTTACCTGCATGTATGTGTCACCTCCTTGATTGCCCCTTATTCATACATGTTCCCCTCTTGCCCTTTCCTCTTTGGGGCAGAGTACAGTGAGTACCCACTGCAGAAGTCCTCACCTGTCCTGGGTCCCATGTGACCCCACTTTTTCATTCTTCATGCAGAAATCAGGTGAGCTCTGCAGGTAAATCAGCTCAGTCTCTTTGACTGGCCTGATATCAATATCCTTTGGCACCAGGTATTTGCGTGTGCCCATGGGCCGGTGAACAACCTTGGTGGCAGATAAATATTTGGTTTTGAGGTCCAGTGCAATGTCTCGCAGCTCTTGAAGGCCTTTCCAACAGGTCTTGATAGAGCATGACCCAGAAACTCCATGGCACTTGCATTTCATTTCAAGAGAGGCTTTCAAGACCTGCAAAAAGGAATGCAGGAGTTAGGAAATGCCCTTCTCTCACAGCCAAACATCCCACAAGCTTGCTCATGAAGGAGCTTCCTTAGCAGTGGCTGCTACAGCAAAGTCCTACTGTTCTCATTTCTGCACAGGCAGTCTGGAGTGGCTACTTTGAAAGCAAATGAGATCCTACAGCTCTTTGTCAATTTTGAAAGCAAATGAGCTCCTACAGCTCTTTGTGATCGCTATCAGTCCAGGACTACTTTCACAAGGGCTCCTTTGCAGCCAGAAGACAGAAGAGTATTTTGAATTTTGATTAGATATCTATATTGGGCTGCATCTCCACCCTCTAAATTCCTAAGGAGATGAATATCAAAATATTCCATAAATAGATAATTAACATCAATTTCAACCTCCAGCAGCTTTGGGCTTTGGTAAGAGAGATGTCATGGCTTTGTTGAATTCAGTGCACTCTCACCCTGCCTTTCTGCTGGTCATGGGGTGAAAACAGCCTTTTACTTTGATTCTCCACTGTTCTCATTTCAGTGGGATGTGGCAAGATGCTGCCAGGAAGGGCTGAATGCACCAGCCATGGCAACACAATGTCCTAAACAAAAATTTGCCCTTTGCAATTGAAACAAAAAATCAAGACGTTACAAAAATAAAACAAAATTTAAGAAAAAAAACTCAGACCCCAAGCAAACAAACCAAATAGTGTGGGAATAGCAGAAAAAACAAAAGAGCCAGAGAGGGAAACTTCAGCATGGTTGTGCTCTGCAAAGGTGGACTCAGCCTGTATTTACACAGCAAGCTCCCAATGAGCTCAGCATGCTCCAAGTTTGTCTGCACAGGCAGCCCTGGAAAGACCAAGCTGTGCAGTAGGAACATCTGTGGAACCACTGGAGCCTCAGAGATGGGTGCAGGGGTCAGTTTTGTAGCCCTCCCCCATCCATCTCTTCAGCTGCATGGACAGCTGCCACAGGGATTTGCACATCAGTGCACACCAGGCACTGCACATGGTAAATATTATCCCTCCACTGGATGCAGGCTGTTAAAAGCAGCTTGTGCCAGATATGAGAATAATCACTAGCATAGCAGCTTGAAAAGGAAAAAACTCCTCCCTCCTGCCTGCAGGGATGGCTGGAGGCAACTGCTGCTGGATGCATGTGGCAGATGATAATCCTCCAGGTTTGCACAGCACTTTGTCCCCACAATGCCCCTGGCAGAGCACGATGGGACCCGTCCCCACCACACCTCCTGGGCAGGCAGAGCCAGAGCCAACACTGACTGTGCAAATGGGGCAATGAGACATCCCACCCACGGTTAGACAGGGCTAATAACAGCATTTGGGACTCCCTGAGTCACAGGGGGAGTTACACAGCTAAAGTTTTCAGCAGGCCAAAAGACTTCAGAGCATTCTTTGAGAAATCTGCTCCTTTTGCTAGCTGATAGAGACACTGAACCTCACCACGTGACCAACACTACAGATGATTGTACAAGTACAATAACTCTTGTGGATTTGTTACCTGTCTCCCTACTTCACTGTTGTGCAGATGCATCAGTTTATTGGCTTGTGATCCTGATTTTTTCATCTTCATGGGAGCATCTGAAAATTTGGACCCCATGATAAGACCATAGTTGAGGTTGTCTGCACATCCTCCCCATCGATACCCAGGTCCAGGTGTCTCACCTGGGATGGGACCACAGGAACAGCCAGGGAGGTCCCCGGTGGTGCAGGCTCTGGCAATGGTGTGGCTGATGGCAGCAGCAGAGAGGGCATATACAAATGCTGACTCCCTTGTGCCTGAAAGAGACAAGAACTCCAGCTCAGCCTCCTGGGCCACGTAAACATTCCCCAAAAAGCATCTCACACAGTCTGTGTCCCACAGAGCAGCCAACACACCAACTCACTGCAGCTGAGGTGTCCCATGGCACCACTAGTTTGGAGCACATCTAAGTGAACTCTTCAACATAAGACAACATCCCAGCAGGGCAAGGAGTCATGGATTTAGGCATCTTGTTCATTATGGTGTGATTTGCTCTTGGAGCATGTGCTTAAGCCCTCCTGTGAGTCTCCTGCCTCCTTCTGCTCCTCCCATGACTCCCAGTGGGATGAGCAGACCAGAACTGCTTAACTGGTCTGCTTTGTAAGAGTTGTGGTAGAACATGGTCTTGTATCCAAGGGCCTCTGGGCATGAGTGGCACCATAATGATGAATGTGGTCTCAGAGAACAGGACAAGTAGGCTTTGTAGTGCCTCCATGGCCTCCCAGGAGCAAGACCCTTCCTATCTCCAGTACACACACACAAAACACACACTCACACACACACAGGCTGACTCCACTGATTCCAGTCCCAAGTGAGCCAGCAGTGCTGTTTTACCTCTGTCTAGGTCCAGCAGGTAGTTAGGAGCCAGCTCTATTGAAGAGCAGTTCCACCTCATGTCTGAAAAGGTTTTCCGGCAGGTCTTTATCACCTCCCGCGCTGCCTGAATAATGGTCTGCATCAGCTCCAGGTTGCTGCGGCACAGCTGCACCTGAGAAACCACCAGCCCTTCGAGCTGCTTGCAGTGCTGGGTTTGATTAAGGGCCAAAGCCAAAGAAGTCTTGGACAGAGCTCTGAGGAGACAAGCACATGCACAAAAGCATTAGAACACAGTCTAGTCGTCTACATTCACCTGACTTAATTAAAGCTTTCTGTAAAGAAGTGCTTAGATAAAGCTGGTGAGAAAGATGAGCAACTATGAAGAGTGATTTATCTCATATAAAGTTGGTGGGAAGAAACACCCTTTAGCAGTGTTCTCTCCATTCCTGATGGGAGGCTGCACAAAGCTCCAGGGGTATGTGTCGAGTCAGCCGGATGTGTAAATCCTATGGGGAAGGTTGTTTGCTGAAGAATGAAGAGCACAGACCTCCCAACAGAGTAAAAAATGACCCATCAGTTCCATGATAAAAGAAATCTGGATCCTCCAAGACTGTGGCATTTGGGAAAAAAAGCAACGTTGGTGTTATCAGTATTTTGTATTCAGCATCTGTCTCACACACTCTCAAAGGATTATGCTAAATGTCATGTAATTAATTATGGAGAAAATCCCCTGCAAGGCCTAGGGAAAAATCATCAAATTTGCAAAACATATGCTTTCACTTAAAGTTAATGCCAAGGGCCTCTACTGATTCAATCACTGTTGCAGATAGATAAGTCTGTTTCTCTAGTCTCCAAAAACCATACTGAAAAATCTCAGTGGGAGTATGTGCAGAGAGAGCATCACAGCCAAATCTGAGAAGGGATCCATGAATACCAGCACATATGTTACCATGAAAGAAAAGAACAACATCCCACAGTGGTGGTTCTTCTACTGTCCAATTGCCAACTTTTCCAGGTTAAAAAAAGAACAAATGCCAGCATGCATCTCACAGGGCTGTCCTCTTCTTCCCTGAGTACCCACAACGATCAACAGAAGCCAAGTGTGGAACTCTCTTTGTATCTTTTTGGCTTTCTTAGGGTAGCCATAAAAGTTACTCATTCCCATAAAACAACTTTCTAGCAGGCTGAATCAATAATCTGATGGCATCTGATCATGGCAACACAACTTTAACACATATTTCCTTCTGTGCTTGTTAAATGTATTGGCTTTCAGATTTATCCCAAGCCGTCTTGGTTAGTTTGGCTTATTAGCAAACACATTTTGGGGTGCATTTCACTTTTTTACTGTAACATCCACATTCTTTAGAAGTTAAATGAGATGGAAACAGAGCTAAAATTGAGCCCTAATGAAAACTGGAGGAATTAAATCCTTGCTGGGGATGAATAGGCTGGCTCTGACAAATTCCCAGGTGACTGGGAGTTTGGCATTTCTGGCACTAGATAAACAGTGGCAAACTTGGAAAGGAAACCACTGCTCTGAAAGCTATATAAATATATACTTCATACACATATTTAACAGGTCTGTTAAAAATACTGGAAGCAGAAGTCATTGCTGGTGAATTTCAAGAGAAAGGAAAAAAGTGGTGGACTTGGCAATGTTAAGTTATTGGTTGGACTCAATGATCACAGAGGTCTTTTCCAACCTAAATGATTCTATGATTCAATCCTCAGAAATTCTGCCCTGCAGTTCATCTCGTTCCCATACACACTGGTGTTCATACAATCTTCCTTGTCTGGAGAGGGGCCCCTCCAGAAGGCAACTCACCCTGCCTTAGATGTGAACCTGAGCTGGTGGAGAAAAAAACTTGTTGGTGATATACCGGGTGTTCAGGTGTCTGAACAGAGAGATCATGTCCTTGAAGGTAGAGACATGAGTCTGAATAGTGTGACTGTCACCTGGCTGCAAACTCCTACACTGGGGACCTCACAGCAGTCCTTCAGGATCCTTCTTCAGCTCATGGAAAGCAAAAAGCCACATCTAGGAAGTAGTTAGCCTTTTGTGCTTTTGGGACCTATGCTAAGACACCATCATGACTTAGAAGTGCTCATTTTCTGCTCTGTATAGGAAACCCATACACCGAGCAGGGACACAGACATCTGAATGGTACAAGCACAGAGCTTGAATGAGATATGAGCACTTGACACCAGGAATCTGTGAAAAGTTACCCCAGAAAGCCTATCAGCAACTCCCAGGAATGAGCTGAAACACAAATCAGGCAAGAGGCCAAAGCAGCTCAACAGTAATAGAGTATAAATAATAAAAACTCCAGCATGGCATGTCCCAGCAGGAAGGGAAACAGGCAGGGTGTGGCAGGAGCAGCGAGGGAACTTCACAGCCTGAGCTTCAGGCAAATGAGGAACATTCCAAGTCTCTGAGAGAGGCTGTACCACGAGGCAGCAGCTCAGTTTTCTAATCAGATGTGTTGGGTGGCACTTGAGAGGCCTTGGAATGTTTTGGCTGGCCCTCCAGAAGGATGCATATATCTCCTAGGTCCTACACTACATTTTCTGATCTTTTCTAGAGGTCTTCAGCCTCTTTAAAGGACTTGGAAGGCTACATTGAGGTACCCCCATCTCACCATTACAGACAAGTCATGAATAGCACAAATAACCATCTACAGGTAGGGATGAAAGAAGAATTCAGACTGAAACTCATCCTCACCATGAAAAAACAGGACGTGAAGCAATGAGACTGTATCATAAAAGGTGTCTTGAAGTGATCACCATTAGAGCAGCAGTTTTATAGTGCAACAAGAAAACCATTTACTTCATGGAAGAGGGAAAATACCTTCTGATTGGTAAGAACTCAATAAATGGCAGCAAGGCTGTTTCTCATAAAATGAGCTGAGCTCCAGGAAGCCTACCAAGAATAAAACTGCAAGATACAGGAAGGTGTTTTCTGAGCATCTCCCAGACCTAAACTTCATGTCTTTGCTTGTGAGAACCTATAATTGGAAACATCTCCAAGCACCGTGAGGAAAAATTAAAAGGTAATGGAGATGGAAAAGAAAACTCAGTTACTGTAGTCATTTGCTTAGACTGAAAAGTGCATTTATAAATCACAGATCAGGATTTTGAAAAGCCTATTAGGTCATCTATTCCATACCCTGACAACCTAGGTTTGCCCAGTCTCTGTCCCACATTTAGGAATATCTTCTTCACTCCATGTCACTCTAAACCCTCCCTGTGGAAATGTACCCCCCCTCCCTACCTTCTAAATTCTGGCAGCATCAGGGGATGGATTCCCACTGCCTGCAATGACACTATTGGGAAACAATATCCATTTGTGGAAAGAAAAACATTCCCCAGGAGAGGCTTGTCCATGGTAGCATGTGGTGGTGGGTCTCTGGCCTGTCTTCACATGGTCTCTACAGATCACCAGCACTGGGAGGGAAACTGGAGCCAATGGGGCACAGCCAGCCTTAAATTCCAGCCCTCAAGAGCATAACTAGAAGAATATTCTTCATTCCTCAACCTGGGAAAAAGATCCCTGACAAACATCTTTCTGTGGATTCACACTCTTCATCTGAAAAGGGGATTTTACCTGTTTCACCTTGGAAATGCTGTTTTTCACTGTTTCCTCCTGATAACAATCTCACCTAATTCTCCTGCCCCATCCTTCATTCTCCAGAAAATCAAGGGGTGGCTGTTTCACGTTTTTTTTTTTTTTTAAAGTATAAATATTTGATCCATCCCTTTAAATAAACAGGGCCTAAACCAAACATCTCCTGATCTCTATATAACACAGCAGGTCTTTCACTTGAAATTCTGGATACTGACAGAAAATCATGAACATGATTACAGAGGAAATATGCATAGATGGATCATTACATTAGTTTACTCTTTTATTTATCTCAGGCAGTAATTAAATTAATTTGAAAACATTAATGCTCTGCAGTGTTAGGTCCTTTGAGAGTTATGGGCCCATTCCTGCATGTCTGGGCCCCATGAGAGGACTGTTCATAGTGCAGGTTAGGAAGAAGCACCTTCAGATGGTAGCAGATATCAATGAAAGTCATATATTATTTGGTTTACAAGGTACCCTGTGAGTAGGACACTGCTCCTAGTCAAGCCAAAGGGAGAAGAACTCCTTCAATTGAGCAGCAAAACATTGGTGTCCTTTAAAACACCCTGGAAAGGTGGAAGAATCTTCTCTCTGAAGGCATCTCCCCACCCTCCCTTGTGTGACATGATCTCCAAAAGGCTCACAAAGGGACTGCTGGTGAAACCATGAACCTCTACTCCAATTTACCAACTTTGCTTTCTGAAAAAGCATTCTTTTAATGCCTGTTCCTAAACTCCTTAATCTTGCAGAGATGTGGGTGACACAAAAAGATTTAGACAAAATTACATGGCTGTGGAGAGGGAAGTATGTGGCAAAAGTTAATAAAGAGAGGCAGAGATTAAGAGTTCTTTTTTTATTTGATCTCATTGAAGGTTTTTAATCTGCAGGAGCCTCATTTTCTCCTCCAGGTTTGCATCTGGAAAAGGCTTGCAGGGGAGTTACAATAACGTTGTCTAAGCTCCTGGTAGTCAAAGGCAGCTCATGCCCCTGCCACCCTGCCCTGCATCAGTTCCAGCCTGGGGACCACAAGTCCTGGGAAAGACACCACATCCCCTGGTAAATGCTTCCCCTGGTTCTGCAAGGGCCTTTCAAACAGAGAAGTAGGATTTATGTGGTTCAAAAGAAAAAAAGAAAGAAAAAAAAAAAAAAAAAAGAAAGAAGAGGAAGAGGGAGAGAAGTGTGTGTGTGGGGGAAACCAACTCTGAACTAAAAGCTTAAAATAAGAACTGTTTTCAGATATGGTGCCAAATTCAGTGCTGGCAGTAGTGGGCACAGGGCTGTTGACTTCATGCCCAAGCTTGAATGAAGTCAATGCCAGCAGTGAGCTGGCTCACTGAGCGCCGAGCAAGGCCATGGAGCTTTGTCAACTTTTCCTGAAGCTGGAGCAAAGTGCAAACTTCAAAGACATGGTACTCCCCTTTCCTCATCCCCAGCCCACTCCCCTCCTGCCATCCCCATCCTGCAGCTCTTTCACAGCAGCTCATCTAGCAGTGCCTTGCCAGGCAGACAGGCTCCTCTCAGGCGCCCGTGTCTCCACGTCCCAGCTCCCTCCCACTGCTTATTGAAGGGGAGAGGCAGGAGCTGCCAGGAAGCACAAAATCTTTCCATTTTCTCCCCTGTTTTTTGCTGGCCGCAGAAGGGCTGCTCAAGGTTGGTGGGCTGGGGGACATCCCATGTTCACCAAAAGGTGTGGTTAAGCTGCCTTTTGCTTCTGCAGGGCTGCAGTTTAACCATAGGAATAGTACAGGAATAGCAGGGAATGGAGCTCAGCTGGGGATTGTTTCAGAGAACATGAGACATCATTGGGTCACCACAATGGGGACAGGCAGAGACTTCCTGAAGTGACCAAGCTCCACCTAAAAATGATGGCACTCCTAATGCTAGCACTTGCCGTTCTGGGCATATTCTGCAAGCCATGAAAAAACAAAAAAAAAAAACACTGAAAAAACCCCAGCTGACCAACCAACAAACCAAAAACAAACAAACAAAACAAACAAAAAAACCCAAAATCCGTCCCCCCCCAAAAAAAACCAAAAAAGAAGACAGAAAAAATCCCCTCCCAAAACAAAAAACAAACAAAACAAACCCAAAAATAACCAGCCCAAATCACTCACTGTGTTTGGCTTATTTACAACCACATTAAAGGAGACATTCAATACAGAGGGACAGAGGAGATGCCAATCCCTGTGGAGGCAGAAGTGCCTCAGAAGCCACTCTGTGCCTGGACATCCCAACACCTGCACACCTTTGGGGCATGCACATCTGGCTGCAGCTCCCTCTAATGCTCATCTGTTTTTCAGTTCTGCCCAAATAAGTTGCTCCAGCACCTGCTTGGTCAAACCCAAATTCTCCTGGGAAAGCTGAATGGATTGCAAAAGCAGATGGGGAAGGTAATAGAATTACTAGATGCATTGGCCCTCAGACATATCTCATGAAACCAATGGCTGCCTCACCTTCTCAGCCACTGTGACAAAACTGAGCACCACAAAATGATGTGACCTCCTCACACACCTGCTTTGCTCTCAGGATGGGAAAGTGTTTGCAAAAAAGGGACTCAGGGTCTCATATACATTGATGAGGAAGGCTGTATCTCCACAACAATCCTGATCCAGCAAAGATCTGGAGCCACAATCTGGCTTTACACCTGAGTAGCTCTCTGGAGCTTAGATGAAACAGTACAAGATATGAAATTTCTCCAGCAAGAGAAATGTATACAAGAGCAAGAACCTGTGTACAAGGCGCGGACTGTCCATGCACTATACTGGATGTTTGGTGGGGCCAGCACCAACTTCCAACAGATGGGGATTTGGACCACAGAACTCATAAAAATAAGCCAAGCAAAAGAAAAAAATAATTTCTTTTTTTACCTTCTCCCTGCTTTGACTAATTTTCAGGGCATATTTGTGTTACTGAGAAGTCCTAAATGGCTGAAAATTGTTTTTCTTCTTCTTCCTCCTGCAATTACATCATGCACCGAATCAAAATTAAATTTCCTATCACCTTTCTTATCAGTCACTCCCTCATCTCCAGGCTGGTGAGACCCACCTCCTTATCTCTCCCTTCCCCTCCCAAATCCTCTTTGAAGCTTGACTCTGGCACCATGTGTACAAAAATGATGCAGTGGGCAGACTAGTGAGAAAATCCCACAGCTGAAAACATCACATAGCACTTTCCTCCTTCTTCATCCTGTTCTTTTTCCCCACCTCTCTGTTCAAGAGCAAGAGAAGGAAGGAGCAGATTTCAATTGTACAGCACCCGGAATATGAGTCCAGAGCTGAGATCAGCAGGTCTGAGGTATTACTCAGTATTTGGTACTCTGTTTGCCAAGAAGTGATCCATGCAATTTCTAAGGACAGCCCCTGAGCCCCAAGAAGAAAGAGTGATGGGGAGTGGGGAAAATTAGCCTGTGTTTCCCTAGGAAAATGAGGCTGGGGAAATGAGGAGAAACAGCAAACAAAAGAAAAACCAAACATAATTTTGTGAATTTCCAGCTGCCAGCATCCCAGTTGCAAAGTGCTGTGGACAGAGAGTGCAGGTCTCTGCCAGGTTTTAAACAGGTGTGAGGGGAGCTCAGTGGTGCATCTGCATGCCATTCATGCTTCAAATACCATTTTAATCCCAGCTTTCATCTTTCCCACTCACTTTTTGATAGGGGGATATGTCTGCTGGGAAGTAGAGAAGCAGCAACTGTGACGTCTTACCCCCAAACTGCTTCTCCCCCCACTCACCCCAAAAGCAACCCCTGCAGCTTAACCACTTAGGAAAGGCTGCTTTTGACAGCAAAGCTGTCAGGGACCTTTCCCTGCCTCCCAGTATTTTTCATGTCTATGGCTTGTCCATTCCCTACTATCAGGTTCCTTCTGGAGCTCATCTCACCCCTGCCCTTTTAAGGAACCTAAGCCTCTCACTCATGATTAAGCATCTTGCCTAAGTGGGACACCAATGCCAAGCATATGGACAAGTCCCTCCAGTCAGTCATGGCTCTACACATAAAAGCCCTGCTGAATCAGGGTGCCACAAATCAACTTTATTTCTGTGCTGCATGGAAATAAACATTGCAAAGGAGTCCCATGGACATGTTGCTAAATGTCCTTCAGAAAGGAGATGCCTGCCTTTCCTGGTGCTGGATACTGGCAGAGCTGAGAGTCAAAATGCTGGAGGAAGTAGGTGGAAACAAACAGCTGGGTTATGTAACTGAGCTCTTGCTGACTACTACAAGGTGTAAAGCCAAGGCAGTCAAGAGCAAACCAGATCCTTACTCTCCTCTACTTCCAAATGTTCCTTAGAGCATGGAGACAATAAATGGAAGATTATGGAATAGTATGGGTTGGAAGGAGCCTTAAAAATCATCTAGTTCCTATCTTCCTGCCATAGGCAAGCATGCCACCTTGAAAGATGCCCTGAAATAGGTGACTATTCCTCCCACCTGATCAAATGCATTTAAACACCTATGGTGCTTCTCTTTGTGGATACAAAAGGCAGATGTGTGGCTTCTAACAGCTCACTGCAGCACACAGCATCACCAGAGGCTATCACTTACATTTCTGTTGGATATTTCTGTTTGGAGAAGATGAATTGCCATCTGGAAGGTCCTCTCTTCCCTGACTGCATGATGGGAAGTAAAAACACTGGCTCCAATGGGACACCTTAATTTGCAGATATCCAAATTTAAGCCTTTATAAAAGGTGGCATGATTAGAGGTTCAAGTGGCAATGATTGGAATAATTGAATGGCAATGGAATGGAATAACAGAATGGCAATTAGACATAGCATGAAGTCTGTGGCAGAAGGAGCAGCAAAACAGGAACCTCTTGTCTGAGTTTCACCACCTATCCCAAAGATCCTTGCTTCAATGCACTACAGAGTCTTCCTGACATTGTATATTATTGTGCCTTTTTTCCTACCAAAGATGCTCATTTGAGGCAAATCCACATTCCCTTGCTTATTTTGTGCCCAGCTCCAAACCCAAGTAGAAAAGACGGATCACTCATCAAGGTCATGAAACCAGATTGGCTTTGGAGTGGCCTGTTTGTTTGTTTATTCTTTAGCAAGCAACTAACTGATTGCTTGTTTAAGCAAAGAAATGAGATGGCGATGTTTTCACTTTGCAGTACATTACCTCTAAAGAAACTCAATCCTGACTTGACCACAGTCCCTGGTATTTCTTCACCCTCCTCCCCCCTCCTCACCTCATTTTTAACACCCTTCACAAAATCCAAAGGTTAAAAGGTCCAGAAAAAAGCCATGTTATCTGTCAAGCATCCCTTGTGGTTGGAGATGGGCAGCATTATCTCAGCTGCCATCCCTGCTGCTCTCAGCTCCTACTCAGCACAGCCAGGGGTCCTGGTGCGAGAGTTTCCCAGCATTGCAGGAGCTCATGCTAGGAGCTTCATTAAGTGGCTTATGCGAGCATTCAAGTGTGTGCCTTTCCCTTGGTATCAATGAGGAGAAAAAAACCCAAATGGGCCTAAATCATGCATATTTTAGAAAGAAGATGGAGATATTGTTAGCATAAGCCCCTAGTACACACACTTGAAATCAATCAATGCCTGGAGAATTGCAGTGCTTGCTGCTCTTTAAACAGTTTACAGCATGCCTCAAGCAGCAGTTGTACAAACAGGTAAGAGACCAGCAATTCCTACAAAAACATTAAAAATGCAGAGATAGAGCCAGATACTTACATCCATTTTATCCCATAGCAAAGCCCTGTCTGCAGAATCAACAGCAGAAAACCAGCTAAGAAAAATCGCAGACTTGGCTTCATTTTCTCCGCTTTCTCCTGCTAGCCAAAGGAAATCAGCTTCTCCAAAGAAATTTGTTTTTTAAAAAGGAGTTTTCTTAATATTTTGCGCAGTGTATTTTCCTTCAGTTTGGGTAATGCTCGTTCCTGGAGATGAAAAACCTGAAAGGAGAAAGAGCCCGAGCTACGGTTAACTCCGAAGTTTAGCAAGTCACTGTGAGAGAGAAATCTATTAACCAAATTGCAGAGGAGTGGCTTATGAATCATGAAAAGGTTTGGATTATCCCTTCTCAGTCCTCTCCCTTGCCAAGCCTCGATACAACCTTTCGAGTCAACAGACAGACAAACCGTATGGGTTGAATTACACAGAGTTATGGTCTGATTGTGTGTTTCCATTTAACCCTGCACATGGCAAGACTTCATTCACTGCTTCACTTTACTAGGTTTTTTTTCTTCCCCTCTCCAAAAAGTTTGTGCAACTCCTTAGGAAGAAGAAGAAAAAAAAAAGATAGATCTTTACATTAGCTAAAATCTTCAGCTATTCATCTCTTGCTTTCTTCTCTCCAGATTTTTTTTTCTACAGAGAAGACAAATAATAAAAACTGCATTTCCCTACTTAATGCAGGTGCCCTTGCCCTGCAGATGTTTCTCTCTGATCTCTTACAATAAATATGTTTTGCTCTTTACCTTTTGCTTTTCTTCTCACCTCATTAACTCTGCCTCTCACTTCTTCCAAGCCCTTGGCACCTGGAGCTCACGGAAAAGGCTACAACTTTGTAAACATAAAATCCCATTTTTGTCTCCAGGGAGCAGCCTGGAGGAGACAAAAAAGCTCTCAAGGATACCCCCACACCCCTTTTCTCTGTGTTGGTTTTTTCCTTCTTCGGGCCAAACAGATAAACAAACCAGATGCAGGACTTAAATCCTCAGAGGGGTCCTCTCTGTCTCCAGGGCATGGCTTGCTTATTTTAGCAGCAGTATTAATAGCAGTAAATGGGTTTCCCTTCAGTTACTCACTTCAGACACCGCTCCAGGCTGCTTTTTGTGGTCTTTGCAGTGGTTTCCCATCCCATGAGAAAGACAACAGTAAAATAAACAGAAAAACCTGCCCACCACATTGCATCTCTGGGGTCTCACAACCCATTGCACAGCACACTGGCAAACCCAAACTGTAACTGTTCACCCCCCCACAGCACCCCCTCAAAGACGTTTGGGAAGGGATTGGGAATGCTTGGAGCAGTCAGCTTCACTCTGGGAGACCTCTTACCCTGGAAAAAGGGTATCCTACCTGATCCCCAGCTCTGGATTTGCCCTGCTGCAGCTTTCTGCCTAAATATTCCCATTTGGGGAGCAATTGGGCTGGGGGGAATGAATATTTCTGAGTGTTTTCTCTGCCATCTGCAGCATATTTTTCTATTCAGGCTGCTTTTTGGCTATCCCAGCCCCAGCGCCTGGCGTAAAGGGTTTTGAGAGAAGTGCTGTTATTACAAAGGAGTTTAATAACCTCTAGGGGCGAGTTCCTGGCTCCCTTGAAGTCCAACACAAAACTGACTGCCTACAAGGGAGGCAGGATTTCATTGCCATGGATTGTTTTTCCTTAATGCCCGCTTGGATTTGGGTTTGATGCATCCCTTGAAGGCAGTGTTCCCATGAGGCATAATGCTTCTTGTTTCAGAGTATTTTGTATCTTTTAATATTTGGGAGCCCTTTTCTTCCCACTGCTCCACAAGCACACTGGAAACCTTCAACCCTTAATCCTGCCCATGCCTTTCAGTGTCTATTTAGATATTTCAGACCCCTTATCTCGCCCCTGTGAACTACTGGACAACACAAGAAGTGGGTGTAAAATGTCTCAGATGGTCCAAAACACTCTCATCTAAACCTGACCACCCAACACCATTCTCTACTCTCCCCCCTTGACTTGAAAAAGTCACAATTTAGGGTTTTTTCAACCCCTGGAGTGGAAGAGAAATTATCTAATTCCTCCATACCTATCCAAAGAACTGTAAGCTTTGCATGCAATTGCACTCCTTTTATTTGGAGAGGTAATAATGCATTTTTCCACTCAGTCCAACACAGATTACATTTGCATGAGCAATTTGCAAGGGTGGGACACGCTTTGGGGCAGATGTGATGTTTACAGCTCTGGTGAGCTCTGGGTCACTGATCAAACCAACAGCAAGTGGCCTGTGGACTCCTAAAAGCAGGAGCTACTTTTAACTCAAAGCTCTCTTTTCTCTTCACCTCAAGGCTGTTTGCAGCCAGCCACACTCTGGCACACAGAAAACACTCCCATCAGTCACCTCCAAGACTCTGGACCTCAGGGATGGGAACAGGCAATTTTAACTGTACATAAAAGTGTGAGTATTCAGCTCACATTTTTCCAGTTTTCCTATCCAGGAAACAAAGACATCCACCTGACTCTGCTGACAGCCTGCAGCTCTCTCCAAGAACCCAGCAGCCTGGTTTAGGGGTAGCACATCCCCAGATAACCTGCAGCGAGGAGTGGGAGCAAAGGAATAGAGCTGGTGGTGGAGCTGATTCCAGCTGCCGGGTCTCACCACTCCCTTGCTGCCTTCTGGATATTCCTTGTCCCCCGCAGCCCCTGGGTGTCCCCCTTACCCTGCAGCCTCCCCGACTCCTCTCTCCTCTGCAGCTCCTTGCATTGCCTGCACATTTGCAGCTCCACGTCCCCCCTCTGCCACCAGCCCCTGGGTCTCCAGTGTCCCATCCAACTCTTGGGTTTCTCCTCTTCCCTGCAGCTCATCGGGCACGGGTCTCTCCACGCTCTGGGTCTCCCTTTCCCCTCGCTCCTGCACTCACGCTTCCTCTTGCCGGGTGTCAGGTCTCTTAATTCAGCCTCCGAGTCTCCTCCTTCCTTGCTTTCCCCCGGGTATCCCGTCTCCCTAGCAGTCTCCAGCCTCCCCTCTCCCTCGCATTCCCTCGGTTCTCCCTGCCCCATGCATCCTCCCGGGTCTCCCTTTTCCTTGCAGTCCTCCGGGTCTCCCTTCTCCCTTGCAGTCTCCAAGCCGCTTCTCTCTCAGGCATCTCCTCGGTCTGCTTTGCAGCCTCTAAGAATCCTCTCTCCGCCGAACCACCCAGCGTTTTCCTACTCCCCGGCATCCTCCGGGATGCATCCCCTCTCCTCGGAATTCCGTCCACGCCTCGCAAACCCCTGTTCTGGACCAGCCCCGCACCTTGGGCGTTCCGAGGGGCTGCCCGGAGCCGCTGTCTCCTTCCCACCTCTCCCGGCAGCGCTCGCTCG